GAGCAAAATCCAGCAAAAAAAAAACCAAATTTCGACATTTTAACCTAACTTAACGAAATTTCCGCCAACATGAATTTTAATTAAATGAAATAGCTATAAAGAGGACGCATAACTTTCAGAACGCCAAATTTTGTTCTGAACTAATACAGATGAGCAAATAAACACAATACGGTCGTCAATTCAGGAAACAACCGTGATTTTCAACAGTATCGGGGCAGACCCTTTTTTCGAATGTTCATGTACTCGCTGCTACAACACATACTGCCTTGTTTCTCTCCCCAGCTATCCCGCACTTGACAACGAATGTAAAAAGTAAACTATCCAAAGGCATGTTCGACTTCAAAATTATAGAGGAAAAATTTGCAGGAGATACCTAAATTCAAAATGCATCCGAATACGCATTTCGGTCATGGAGACCAGAAACTTTATTCCCCTACGAGTGGAATGCTTTGGCCGACCATCGGACATTGGAAGATCGTCGTCGGTACAATCACAGTACAGAAAATGGCTGAATACAAAACATTTGCTCGCCATCACAGCAATAATAGAAAGGTGAACAATTCGTAACGCAATAAACTTTTGGATGAATTTATGCTAGCTATTGATTGCACTTTAGATCTAGCCTGTAGCGGCTGAGTAAGTCTGCCCTAGTCAGAAATGGCCAGAAATAAACAAAAATAGTAGAAGGGAATTAAAAAAAACAGATGAGAAGTCGGGAATAAAAGTAAGGCAGGACTTTTTTATTCCTTAAATTCCGCTTAGTCACATAAAATTAAGACAAAATTGAAGCTGAATTTGTGAAAGAGGACAAAAAATTGACAAAAGAACAGTCAAAAAAGTCAACATTATTTTGCAGAAATAGTGGATGTGCTAAACATAATAGAAATTGGGATCTGCGCATTCACCAAAAGCAGAAAAAAAAAAGAACTTTGGTGCGAGAAAATAGCTCGTTAAGTTAACTTATGTATACGGCCGATTTTACACCTAACTAATCATTTTTTTGTTTTTCGAGGCATACCATTTCTTTGTGCCTTCTTGTTTTTTACGCTTTCTGCTCCAGAGTCGACAACAAACGATTCTTGCGCTTCTGAATTACGTGTATCCTGTCGTGAAATATCAAAGCCTGGTGGTGGGCCAAATCCAGGAGGGGGAGCTAGTTCCAGACCACGAAGACCTGGAGGTGTTTCAAGACCACAAGGAAGTTCTTCGGCTATGATTTTAGACTGCTTGTTAGCGACCTGAAATCAATTCGTAACTTCGCAGAGGTGCCATTTTCAGAATCGTATGAGGCTGACTGAGAAAAGAGCATTATCCAGTACTGAAATGTTTTGCCATTTTTAGTTTATAACAATATGTTTTAAACAGATTTTCTGAAAAATCCCCAAGCCATAAACGATATTATTAACAAAAAGAATATGAGCTTTCATTATGAGTTTTGAAGGATATATTTAATAAGTTAGAGTTTTTAAATACTTGCACTGAAGCACGAATAAGTGAAGATAAACATCTGCTGCACGTTACAACAGCATAAGTGTTAAGTGCTTTCTTGCAGCTGGAATTTGGACAAACAATTTTATGGAGTAACATTAATGTAAGGAGTAACCTTCTGGGTCGAATGTCCAGGAGGCGCTGTTGGAGTCGAGAAAGACGATAAATCAATGGCTGAATTGCTAGCACCATCTTTTTCTAGGCCCTGCGCTAGACGATCAGGCAATGACGGCTGCACCTGTAAAATGTGATAAGCTGATAAAACACAGATGAGGTAGTACCTTGTTTGGCATCAATTATTTCAACATCTTAAGAAGGTCGCGCGCTCAAGCAGTATATATGTGATGTACAGAAGTTGAAGCAGAGTAGACAAGAAGACCTGACGTAGCTTGTACTGTTTATGTGTATAATTTCTGCATTTCAGTAGTACAGAAAGCTTTATATCGAGAGATTGGAAGAATTTTTCGCCTGTGATGGTCATTTAAACACGGTTCACGTGGGTTCCGATTATCAAAAAAAGTTAAAAATTTTGGCCAGATAAAGGGTGAGTTTTCGCAATGACTGTTCATCACTTATTTGCAACAGGTGCTGGAACTGGAACCCTCTAAATTCATAACTAAAATCTGTTTTTTATGGAATCAGACAACGTGCCGATTATTTTTGCAGAAAGTGTAAAACAGCGAAAATTCTTAGCAGGCAAAAATTCGCTGGAAAGAATTGCGCAAAACGCATGAATGCGCAGGCTACCCTGGTGCACCCCGCTATTTATTATGCGTTTTTTGCAGCAATGCAGTGCGAAAAACGCATATTGACGAGAGGCTGTCTGTGTGTGTGTGTCTGTGTGTGCGCTACGCGTCTGTACCGATTTTTCATCTCGAGACCCATAAAAACTACGGTGCTGAAACTTTGGGGACTTAATCTACATGCACGTACGGGCCCCAATCCCCGAAGTGGGCGGCCTTTCCCTCATGGTAGCCACGTAAGACCCCGCCAAAGTTTTTTACGGGTAAGCTACTAACTCGCGAACCAGAAAAGCCAGAGAGCTGAAATTTTATGGGAATGTTCCTCTCCAGGCAGGTGCTAATGAGCTCAAATCCAGCCTCCGGAGTAGCGTGGTACCCGCATACGAGCCCCCCAAAATTCTTCCCGCGTAAATTCATAACTCGGGGTTTTGAGATGCTAGAAAGCTGAAATTTTAGGAGAATGTTCTCCGTCCAAGCAGGTGCTAATGAGCTCAAATCCAGCCCCCGGGTAAGCGTGGTACCCG